TTTCTTTTTACTGTGTATCTTCCATTGCAAGTTTATATCAATAGAAGACGTTTGTATTTGGTTTGTATGATTAGGGTAGAAGTAAATATGGTATTATTTTATGACATCCCCAGCCTCTGATAACCCCAACACAAACAAATTTAAATGATTAGAAAAATATAGAAATAATCCATTTCTTTCATATTTTTCATGCACATAATTTGATAGTTTTGCTGGCATTTAAAGAGTTAAAATTTCTAAATATTGTATAATACTTGTTATGTATGATTAGAGCAAAAGTAAATGAAGACATTGATGTAAAAAATTTAGACAAAAATCTGTGCCTCATAAAAATATTGTGGTATTCTTTTTCGATGTACATTTTTGTCACAAAGGAGCACAGGTGTAACTAAAGGAGTGCACAAGGGTTAAATAGTTTGCAGAGGTCCAAAGTCATTCCTCACTCACCTTCTGCATTCAACGCATCCTGAATCCTCAGAGAGTCACATGATGTTGCTGTGACGTGTCCATCAGCTGATTTATACAGGTTTCGGTGCTGTTTTTCTGGAGACAGGACGACACTCTGATGAAGAGCAGTCAAAAGTGTCAGGTATGAAAACAAACCCTTGGTCTGAAAAAAGAACCTAATAATATTAATTATCAGAAGACCAAATGAACATCATTGGAGATCAGAGTTTAGCTGTAAAGCTAACAACAAGTAACATAGGTTTAGAAAGTGTGCAATCAAAACTGTGCATAGGTTTAGGGAATGTGCAATAATTAATAGAATACAAGAATGCAAAGGGTTTGCCTGTTAAGAATAATTTAAAGGTTCTGTTGGTGCATCACTCGTGGTCAGACTTGGTCTCGTATCTATTTTTTTGTTCTATGGTGTTTGTTTATGTGTTGCTTTGTGTTGTGTTGTCCTGTTTTTTGATAAAGCATGTGACCCCTGTCCCAAGACAAATTTCTCCCATGGGAGACAATAAAGGATTATCTCATCTTATCTTAACATGCTAACATGCACTTCCTGATTATTGAATAAAACACTTCATAATTCGTTGCAGTACATTTTATAGATTTAGTTCTATAGGAAGTTTTGAATGAATGTGCAGGAAACGAGTCCACTCAAACAAGTTAAAGGTAAAACATGTACTGGGCTTCACAAACAACGTAACACCGCGGTCACTGTCTCTGCGTGTTCTGCGGGTGGTGCAGCTTTGTAGTCAGTGTTGGGAAGGTTACTTTTAAAATGTATTCCCCTACAGATTACAGATTACATACACCAAAATGTAGTTTGTAACATAATCCATTAAATCATTTAAAGTGAGTAACGTAATCTGAATACTTTGGATTACTTGATATTGTCATGCTTTTTAAACTAGATGAATGTACCAACCACATCCTGAAAATTCTTGTTCTCTTCAAATTGTGTGTTGAGCCCAAGTCTCCATGAACAGACTTTTGTTTTACTGTAGAGAAGCAAAGACCAGGAAATCTGAACATGAGATGTTTTATCTGTTAAAAGTCAATAAAAAAGACCAGTCTTTCCTTAACCAGATTAAAAAATATTATTTATAAAGAAATGCTTTCTATATGAGATCACCTTAAATTATGTCCACCTACTGTTAGGTGTCATATTGTTTAGTCCTGGTTTTAGTCCTGGTTCAGTCCTTTTTTAGTCCTGGTTTAGTCCTGGTTTTAGTCCTGGTGTAAGTTCAGGTTTAGAGACTCACAGGAGGAAGTGCGGTCTACGCAGTGTACATGAGAAAACTCGCAGCACACGGGAGGACGGAGGTGTTCGCGCAGCAGCTACGGAAGGAGACGTGGTCCACGCTTTCTCAGGTTGATGACGATGATGACGGTGTGTGTGTGTTTGTGTGTGTTTGTGTGTGTGTTCCCTCATGTCTCAAGTCACTATATGACAGTAGTGCAGATTTCATGAGTCTATGCAGTTTGTTTTCACCAGTGCCAGTAGCTCTGGTTTGTTATTTTCTTTTATATCTCACGTCGGGAGAAGAATTTCCTAGACACAAATGTGTTTTTACCTGTGCACTGCTGCTCTGTTCTACTGGCTCTTCGACCTCGTCCATTATGTGACTGATGCCACCAACATTAACATGACGTTTACATCGCTCTTACTGCCGTGTTCTGTTTGGGTTTCCGGCAATGAGTGGAATTACCGAAATAAAAATAAATAAATAAATGGGATGTAGCACAAAATGTGAAAACAGGAAAATACCGCTCATAATTTGTACTCTGATTACGTAACGGCGATACATGCAATCTGTTACTCCCCAACACTGTTAGTAGTTTACTGAAGTCGTGTTGGGACACCCGAGTGGATTCGTGTACAGGGCGCTCTGGATTGTGCGAGTCTTAAGAGCGTGTCTAATAGTCCGGAAAATACGGTACTTCAAATGTATAAACTTCCTATCAAAGTGCACATAAAAATAAGAAGTATGAAATATTTAGTATGCAGTTTGTGCCATAAAAACACAGAAAATACAAGCAAACTGACAAATAAACTACGTGAAAATGGTACAACTATATCTGAATAATAGAATGAGCTTTTAGAAATCTGTTCTAAAGCTGAATGTTGGAGTGAGAATGGGCATAGCTAACGGCAGATGTGCCATTTGTGATCCCATTTTCTGCCCAAAGCTAAAATATAGAAAATAGAGCACGGAGGTTTATGCTGTAAACAATGAATTATCCAAATGAGCATGAGCAGGGACTGTATATTCTGGCCATTTCCATCAAGGTACAGGTTTACTCACTGATGATTTTCCATAAGAATTAATATTTAAACTCCATGTCTAATGAGTGTGTGTGTGTGTGTGTGTGTGTGTGTGTGTGTGTGTGTGTGTGTGTGTGTGTGTGTGTGTGTGTGTGTGCGTGTGTGTGTGTGTGTGTGTGTGTGTTTGAATGAATAATGCAGGAACATATACAGAAGTGGAACAGAGTGAGGAGGCGTATGGAGACACCACGGGCTACGTTCACATGCTAAATCGGATTATAATATGATTTCTGAAGCTTTAAAATTATTTAAATGGCATGCAAACCACAAAATCTGGTATGAGCATTCAGAGGGACCATGATCAGACACAAATTAGATGTTGTTGTTTTTTTGCTGTTTACTGGTCATTTTAATAGTCTTACAACAGAAATGTGAGAATAAAGTGTGTGTGCATGTAACAGCACTTTATTGTCCTACAAATGGATATATGGGTCTGGTCAAGTGGTAACGGAGGGAAACAGGGTCAGATTTTTGACATTCAAATGTCTCTTATTCAGAAACTAGAGGGACTATTGAAATAAGTAAAGTATCAGAATGTAGGAAAGAGTTACACTCCAACAGGGTCAAGTTAAACCTGTGATATTCTTTCAAGTTGTTGACAAAAAATTTAAAAAACTCATGTCGGTAACGGAGGGAATGAAATATGCAGCACTTTTTGAGCAATAAATCCAAACAGTGATAACTCTTGGTTCTCACTTCCATATCCTTAACAAACTGGTTTGAATATTTGCTTCATATAGTTTTCTACCATATGGTACAAGATTAGGTTGAAAAACCTCTTACTTTTTGACTAATGAGATTTTTTATGAAGAAAGGTCATGGTAACGGAGGGAAAGTAACGGAGGGAAAACTGTGCAAACAAGTAGAAGGTGCAGGATTTTGCATAATTTGTCAACTTTTTTCTTCCAAATACTTTAATATTACTTCAAAATGAAAGGAAACTATTTCTATAAAATATGTCAGTCCTTCCAAGCAAATTTTTATCATTTTAAATACTTTTTTTTTTTTTAATCCTGTACCTTCATCAACAGTTCAAAGATGGAATAACACAAGATATGATTAAATACATCCATTTATTGACATGATTTGCAGGTCTTTAAAATTTGGGAAATAATTTTTGTTCCATGTTTCATTCATGGTCTGTTTAAAACGTATGGAACTTTAGAACCAAAAATGGTACAGAAAAAAGGTCAGCAGTTTCATAAACTAGAGTACATATGTATCTGTTCAATACATTTTTATATCAGATGCATTAACTTGAATTTTTGGCCTTGCTGTTTACTTCTGCTTGACCGGGCCCATATGTATTTGTTTGTTAGTTTTTTGATTGAAGAGCTCATAGAAATCAGGGAAGGTTCACCAAACACCAGGAGAACATTGAAAAAGGTGTGACTATTGCCTCACTGCAAGAAGGTTCCAGGTTTGACTCCAGGGCCTTTCTCTGAGAACTTCGTATGTTTCTCCCTGTGTCTGGTTTCTTGTGGGCACTCCAGTTTCCCCATCAAACCCAAACATGCACAACACGTCAAATCCTCCAGCTAATGTAATTCTGACCAAGACTAGTACAAGATCTGGCGATGGAAGCCGCTCCTGACAGGTTTCCTCAGCCAAAGAGCCAATCAAGGGTGAGGCTGTTGAAGGTAACGCCCCAGTCCGGCTGCACCGCTGATTTGACAGGGAACAGATGCTTAGTAATGCTGTCAATCAAACTAGCTAACTCTAAAAGGGGCAATCTTGGGAAAAGAAGGCACATGATTTGTCTTTTTTTAATGTTCATAACTTGATTTACAGACAAAAAGACAAAATAAAAAAAACAAGGATAATGTAGAGTGAGTTAATATGAACATTTTAAGCCCAAAATGAGGAGCCTGACAGCAGCAGGTACAGAGAGAGGGGGGACTGTTTTTCAATAGAAAGAGAATTGGAGCCAGAGTCAATAGAGCCTGAAATGTGCCCATGTTCACTTCCTATCTGGAACGTGTTGATTAGCAGTTTAGCTATGTCCATTGACCAACTTCCTTAGAGACAATACAGTGTACCTTAATCTTAAACTAAATCTGGTGGATCACAGGAGTAAGTGTGAATGAAATGAAACACATAGAACAGCTGAGACATTTGTGACGATGGAACAACATGAAAACAGGTTAAAAGCTGTAAGAGATAAGTCAGTCTGTCATAAGAAGTGCTGGTTGTTCAGGTGTGTCCACTGGATTGGTCTCTGTCAGAACATGAGTTTGTGGATGTGGAGACTGAGGACAGTTCTGGGCTGTGGGACCAACAGCAGACCCCTGTGTCTCCTCCTCAGGACCTCATCACGCCACCAACAGGACGACCAGAGAAGTACAAACAACAGAGCGATGGAGAAACTGTGAAGTACAAGAGGAGACTTTAAATATATCTCATTAAAAAAGAACACATCATTTTACAGCCTCAGTGCTCCTCGTACTCTGATGTGGTGCAGCTTCCCAGCACCTTGTGATGTCATGAAGCAATAGTTTTCAAGTTCAGAGACTGGAAAGTCCATGGCTGAAATCATCCAAATTATTGTAGAGAAGGTCATAGGTCGGCCACTCTGGCTTGTCAAAGACTGATCATGTCAGATCTGAGAAGCTCAGCAGGTCCGGGACTGGTCAGGACTTGGATGGGAGACACTGGGAAAATCAGGAGCCACAGGAGGCGCCAGTCACAAAAACTGTTGTTGTGTCCTTAGGCAAGACATGTCATCCACATTGCCTAGTATGAAAGTGGTGTGTGTGTGAGTGTTAGTGTGTGTGTGTGAGTGTTAGTGGTGGTCAGATAGCACCGATTGGCAGCCTCACTTCTGTCAGGCCCCAGGGCAGCTGTGGCTACAATAGAGGTTTACCACCTGTGGGTCTGGAGTGAGTGCTCTGCTCTGCTCTGCTCTCTGCTCCGCTCTGCTCTGTAAAACATCTTTGTGACAAATGTCTGTGAAAAGTGCTGTATAAATAAAAATAAGGTGTATGAAGTTTAAAAACAAACCTTTTACATGGTTTTACCACATGGTGACATCACAAGGTGAGTGTTTTCCGTTTGAGAGAAGAACTCAGCCTAAATGTGCAGGATGTGTGTGTGAAACGTGTGTGAATGAAACAAAACACAACTCCAGGTTTGTTTGTGATGAGGAAACTACATTAGATCAGAGATCTGAACATAGTGTAATTTGGGCCCTTTAAAACAAGTCTGCTGATGATGTATGGACTTAACTGTGCGAGGTTAACCCCAACCCCAACCCTAACCCTAACGTTCTGGAAAAGCCCAGAATGGGCGTCCAAGAGGAGTGTGTTGTGAGGCTCAGGGGCAAAGACTTTCGTAATGAAACTGGCACAACATGAAGTACAACTCCACATGGTTAAAAGCTGAAAAAGCCAATTTAATATAATATGTCTTCTTTGAAATAGTTTTAAATTGAGTTTAATGGAGGAAGCTCTTACCAATAACATATTGTTTCAAGATGTTGTTGTATTTATTTATTTTTTTTATTGACCTCGATTATGTTGGATGTTTTTTGGGGGGATGGAGTATAATACAGGATTATTCAAACATGCCTAAATCGATCGAAACACAACAACTGAGTAAGCAAATGATGAGGGAACAACAGGATAAGAATAATATCTTCTTTAATACTACATTTAAATGTGCAAATATAAAGTTGGAGAGCAGAGGAGGCGGAGGACAGAGTTAAACTGAGGGTAACCGCCTGAAGAAATGTAAAAGTTTCTTGAATTATTTCTTGTTTATGATGGACATAAATCCGTTTAAGATCTGCATAACAATCCCACCGCAGTGTGTTTTTGTGTGCCAAAGTCTAAAGCCTAGAAGTTATTCAAAATGTCCACTAAATAATGGAGAGCTTGTTTACTGGAAAATGTATGGAAATATAACATAAATTACATCTATTAAAATGTTTTGAATGCTCCGAGCAACAGCATTTTATCAACTACTGACAACTTTTTAATACTATATTTCCACACTTTTTTTGTATTTGAATAAATGTAAAGAACAGCAAACACACATACATACACAGTCTATTTTAATCCAGTTTGAAGGGTTGTCATATATTTGTTTTGATTATTGTAGTTTTCTTTCTGTTTTGTGTCTTGTTTGTAAGTTCTCTGGGCGTGTAAAGCTCTCTGCTCGACTTGTGTTACTTTGAAAGTGCTCTATAAATACACTTGGACTATACTCGGGAAAATAAAGGCAGAAATATAGAACAGGCCTATGAATAGATCAAATGTTTATGGGTTTGTTTATTTGTTTACCTGAGCATCATGAAGAGGCCGTTGCCGTCGGTGACAAAGCCCCGCCTCCTCTGCCGCATCACCGTGGCGACCATGGCGAAACACGTGAAGAGGAAAAGGATGAAGGTCTGCCTCTCGGTCACCACAAACCTGCCACAGTCACACAGGGTTCAGTACAGGGACAAAGAGCTACATAAGTCTTTTTTATATAAATAAGTAAATAGTGTTTTCACCTAAAGGTTTACATGAACACTCTATGGGTCAGAACCACCACAGAGGTCAGAGCCCAGAGTGAAATGTCCTGTATTACCTAGAATGTACCCTTGTGGCCTATGGTAGAATGGCTGTCTACATCTCCCAAGATCAAAATGCTCCACCTTATGATGTCATGAAGTGGTAGTTTTCAAGCAGAGACTGGCAATTCCAGTCCTGAAATTATCCAAACGATTCTAGTGAAGGTGTGTGGACACATGTGAATGAAACAAAACACAACTCCAGGTCTGTGTGACCAGTGTTGGGAAGGTGACTTTTAAAATGTATTCCCCTACAGATTACATATCCCAAAATGTAGTTTGTAACGTAATCCATAAAATTATTTTAAGTGAGTAATGTAATCTGAATACTTTGGATTTACTTGATATTGTCATGCTTTTTAAAACTACATGAATGTACCAACCACATCCTGAAAATTCTTGTTTGTTCTCTTCAAATTGGCTGAGCCCAAGTCTCCATGAACAGACTTTTGTTTTACTGTAGAGAAGCAAAGACGAGGAAATCTGAACATGAGATGTTTTATCTGCTAAAAGAAAATAAAAAGTCCATTCTTTCCTTAAGCATATTAAAAATATTATTGATAGAGAAATGTTTTTTTTTGAGATCACTGCTGCCTTCAATTATGTTCACCTACTGTTAGTGTCATATTGTTTAGTCCTGGTTTAGTCCTGGTTCTGGTCCTGGTTTAGTCCTGGTTTAGTCCTGTTTAGTCCTGGTTTAGTCCTGGTTTTAGTCCTGGTTTAGCCCAAAATGTGAAAACAGGAAAATGCTGCCCTGTAATCCATTTATTTCAACAAAGTAACTGTAATCCAATTACCACTCACTGAAACAGTAACTGTAACTGAATACAGTTACTCATAATTTGTACTCTGATTACATAATGCCAGTACATGTAATCTGTTACTCCCCAACACTGTGTGTGACGAGGAAACCACAACAGATACTGGAAAATATAGTAACATGGGCTTTTTCTGACACTCGACCTTTTCAGCAAAATTGTTTAAGCGTCTACAAAAACTTCAGCTAGAGCAATGAAAGCAGGGGTCTTCAACAGTTTTCAGTCCAGGGACCTCCAAACGGTTTGGAGAGCTGGAGCAGGGAGCCCCTACTATATTTATGACATATAAATGTGTTTTATATTAAATTAGGCCTAGTGTCATGTATAAACAGCTGCTCTGTTATTGTACATTCAATAATAGGAGGGTATTCTATCTAATGCTGTCAAGCGATTAAAAAAACTGAGAGATTAATTAATTATGATCTGTAATTAATTAATCAGATTCATCTCTTTTCAATCTCACCTATAAATTGCTGAGAAAAGCTTAAATTTGAGGTATTTTCATTTAAATTCATTATTACAATATTGTGGCAGATCAAAAGACTGATATAGATTTTTAAAAAAGTGACTTTAATAAGTCATTTATTGTTTAACAAACTTTAACAGATGCAGTCACTTACATTCCACAGTATCATTATTATTACTATTACTAATCTGAATAAATAAACTCAACTTTACAACATATAAACATGAACACTCTAGAGTCACATCAGCTGTTTGACATTATCATGTGTTTAATGCAGCTTTGTGGAAGTCTCACAGAAACAAAACTTAAAACCACATGGCTAATTTGCATAAACTAAGCGGAGAAAAGGAAAAAAAAAAAATGCTCTTGTGCGCTGATGTGGTTCAACTTCTGTGAGACTAAAGGACACGTCTCAGTGGAATATGAGGGTTCTCTCTGTGACAGAGGGATGTTGATGCTGAAGGTGAGTCTGTTCTGTGTCTGTGTCGCAATGTTTTCAGAGATCGCAGGTTTATTGCAGATGCGATGAGAACAGGAATGAAAATTAAACTTTTTTGTGGGAGCGATGTGTTATTGTCCCACTAACACATAAAAACACATTTTATAATAAGGCAACTCGCATACAGAAACAGTAAAGTTAGAAATTAAAAATGAGATTAACGCGATTAAAAAACATAATGTGCTAAATATGACTCTAATTAATGAATCGCAATTAACATGATAATTTGACACCCCTAATTCTATCAAAGTCGCTACACAAGTTCAGACTTATCCTGAAATCCTGAGCTCAAACCAGCTCCATCTCCAGTTTAAGCCTCAACTCGTTCCATGACAGAAATAAGTCTGACCAAAGCTAATTCAGGCCTGAGGTTTAAGCTGGACTTTGTGTGCGCTCATGACTCCATGAACCAACGACAACACGGAAAATGGGCTCAAAGTGTGACTTTGAAGTTGCATGACCCCTTCCCGAGGCGCAGTAGTAGGTGCGGAACTTAAGTTCCGCCGTGTGTAAAAGTGAAGCTGTAACAGAATTCTTCACATGTAGCCCAGAAGAAACGATTAAATCTGCACCGAGGTGTTTGCAGTTTGACAAAGAGCAAGAGACCAGGGAATAAAAAGAGAAAGACAGACGTGACAAAGGAGTGAACAGACAGAGCCCACTGAAAATCACCTCATCCTCATCTTTCAAAAATTAAGAAAAAAAAATTAATCTAGTCTAATCAACCAAAGATTTCGTGACACCCCGCAGTACCTCCACCACCCCCCTCTTGAAGAACTCCGAATTAGTATCATATTTTCCAGGCTATATGTCATGCTCTTAAGCCTCCAACCCCGTCAAAAAACAACTGTACGCCCCACAATCCAGAGCGCCCTATACACGAATCCACTCGAGTGTCCCAGCACAACTTCAATAAACTACAAAGCCACAGAACACGCAAACACACACGGAGCAGACAGCGGCCGCGTAGCGAAACACACCCGCAGCCACACTCATCACTCCACGCCGACGAGGAACGGAACAGAGGAACGAACCGAAAAAGCGAGTGCAATGTGCCACTTCTAGACACGACTGAACAACTGAGTCACTGCGAACACGCCGACAATCCAGCTGTCTATTATTCAGATATAGTTATAAAATTTTTTGCTTGTATTTTCTGTGTTTTTATGCCACAAACTTCATACTAAATATTTCATACTTCTTACTTTTATGTGCACTTTAATATGAAGTTTATACATTTGAAGTACCGTATTTTCTGGACTGTTAGACGCGCTCTTAATCCTCCAACCACATCAAAAAACAACTGCAATCCAGAGCGCCCTATACACGAATCCACTCTTGTGTACGACTTCAGTAAACTACAAAGCTGACAACGAAACGAACGAAAATGAAAAAAACACCCACAGACACACTCATCACTCCACGCCGACGAGGAACGGAACGGAGGAAAGAACTGAAAAAGCGAGTGCAATGTGCCACTTCTAGACACGACTGAACAACTGAGTCACTGTGAACACGCCGACAATCCGTTGGTCCCAGACAGCCCCCTCCCTACACGCCACAACTGAACAAAGCCCAGAGTCACCGTGAACGAACAAACAAACAAAACCACTCACCCATCACACTGTTGGGTTTCCTTTAAAGTCCCACACGGTTTATTTGTGAAAAAAGTTCGAACATAGACCATTTAATGACAGTGCGTCTTATAACCCAGAGCGCCTAATAGCCCAGAAAATACGATACTTAAACATGTGTGACCTGGTTTAGACTTGGTTTAGTCCTGGTTTTAGAGCTGGTTTAGATCTGGTTTAGTCCCGGTTTAGACCTAGTTTTAGAGCTGGTTTAGAGCTGGATTAACCCTGGTTTTAGAACTATTTAGAGCTTGTTTAGTCTTGGTTTAGTCTTAGTTTTAGAGCTGGTTTCGTCCTGGTTTAGACTTATACTTTACTTACTTTATAGTCCGGTGTGGTTTATTTGTGAAAAAAGTTTGAAAATAGACCATTTAATGACAGTGTGTCTTATAATCCAGAGTGACTAATAGTGTGGAAAATACGGTATATTGTAAAAGCAGCATTTGTGAAAAATGAGGCTAATGATCACTGTCTGCAACTAATAATCAAGTTATAATAATAATAATAATAATTAATTATTATTATTATTATTATTATTATTCTTTCTAAAGTCAGTATAGAGTCCTGTCCCCCGGTTTCACTTTACTGCCTGATAAAAGCTGCTTTAACCCCAAAACTGAATACATGTGGATATTCAAGGTTTAATATTGTGTGTTTAAAGTGCAGTGTTAAACAAAGAGCACACTCTGGACTGTGTGAAGAGTCCTTACTGCTCCTCTGTGTGTGCAGTGTCTCATACATAATGCACACGCTCACACTGACTCAGACACAGGTGAGTCCACAGATCACACCTGAGTGAAACCAGAGCCTCGACAACACCACCTGTCTCGCGCTGACAGGTGTAGCAGCAATGACAGGTGTGTTCACATGATCACAGTAAAGGAGGGAGACTGAAAATGGATAATACCACAATGTTATTTTATATATTGATATTAATATTGAGTAATTTGTCTATAATTAAAGGTCATATAATATTGTTACCTCCTCAAAAACAGACCTGGAGTTGGATTCTAAACCATGTCTAAACCAGTACGAAACCAGCTCTAAACCAACTCTAAACCAGCTCTAAAACCAGGTCTAAACGAGGACTAAACCAGGTCTAAACCAGCTCTAAAACCAGGTCTAAACCAGGACTAAACCAGGTCTAAACCAGCTCTAAAACCAGGTCTAAACCAGGACTAAACCAGGTCTAAACCAGGTCTAAACCAGGACTAAACCAGGTCTAAACCAGCTCTAAAACCAGGTCTAAACCAGGACTAAACCAGGTCTAAACCAGGACTAAACCAGGTCTAAACCAGCTCTAAAACCAGGTCTAAACCAGGACTAAACCAGGTCTAAACCAGGACTAAACTAGGACTAAACCAAGTCTAAACCAGCTCTAAAACCAGGACTAAACCAGGTCTAAACAGCTCTAAAATCTGGGCTAAACCAACTCTAAACCAT